TTTTCAAGCTCGCCCGGTGTGGATATGCACTCAGAGCAACATCGGAAACATATTATTCACCTGAGTACACAACACCAACACAGAAAAAAATTCATATTACAAGAACACATTGGTATTGAAGGAACTAGATACTGTTCCGAAATATCACTTACTCGAACCGCCCTGACCGCGTAGCTCAGTTGGAAGAGCATTGGGCTAGTATTCCAAAGGTCGTAGGTTCGAATCCCACCGTGGCCGGGCATATTTTTCAAGCTCGCCCGGTGTGGATATGCGCTCAGAGTAACATCGCAAAGATATTAAATTCACCTGAGTACACAACAACAACACAGAAAAATTCATATTACTAGAGCACATTGGTATTGAAGGAACTAGATACTGTTCCGAAATATCACTTACTCGAACGGTCCTGACCGCGTAGCTCAGCTGGAAGAGCATTGGGCTAGTATTCCAAAGGTCGTAGGTTCGAATCCCACCGTGGCCGGGCATATTTTTCAAGCTCGCCCGGTGTGGATATGCACTCAGAGTAACATCGCAAACATATTATTCACCTGAGTACACAACACCAACACAGAAAAAATTCATATTACCAGAACACATTGGTATTGAAGGAACTAGATACTGTTCCGAAATATCACTTACTCGAACCGTCCTGACCGCGTAGCTCAGTTGGAAGAGCATTGGGCTAGTATTCCAAAGGTCGTAGGTTCGAATCCCACCGTGGCCGGGCATATTTTTCAAGCTCGCCCGGTGTGGATATGCACTCAGAGTAACATCGCAAACATATTATTCACCTGAGTACACAACACCAACACAGAAAAAATTCATATTACAAGAACACATTGGTATTGAAGGAACTAGACACTGTTCCGAAATATCACTTACTCGAACCGTCCTGACCGCGTAGCTCAGTTGGAAGAGCATTGGGCTAGTATTCCAAAGGTCGTAGGTTCGAATCCCACCGTGGCCGGGCATATTTTTCAAGCTCGCCCGGTGTGGATATGCACGCAGAGTAACATCGCAAACATATAATTTCATAGGTTATTATTTGGAAAAAATAAGAAAATGCACATTTCTTCGTCATTTAAGTGACAAAAAGGTGTTCGGCCGCCATTTTGAAAATCGCTTAGGTGATTATCGCGTAATAATCACCTCAACGGCAACCAATCAGCGTGGAGAATTTTCAATAATCACCTATGTAATTATACTAAATCAGTTTATTAAGAACTGATATATTGCATGCATAAATTAAAAGCTGGAATTGCCTATAACAATTGATAGGGGTCACATATAGTCGTATGTTACTTTGTCTACCGCCAGACAGGCAGACATTTCAAGTCATCAAGAAGAGAACTTGCAAATGTTAGAATAAAAAGATTGACAAATGTTAAATGTCATAATGAAGGGTAAATGGTGTATATTTTCCTTGTGTTGTCTAAATTTCTCCCTACTGTGAACTTTTGTTAGACACAAAAACGTTTGATATTATATATCTCTCTATGAATATAACAGAGTTCTGGCTATGCTTTTTTTATTTGTTCCCGGCTGGAACTGGAAACTCTGAAAAATCGGGGTTCCTGCCAGAACTGAGTTCCGGTGCACCCCTAGCAATTGATCTGTACTATGGAACTGGATGGACACATGTTGGTTATATTGCTTCTGAACTATGCAAGTATTTCAGCATGACCTCCACCTTTGAATTTACTATATGAGTAAATTTTTAAACACGTCCGAATTTATCAATATCATGATAAATTTGCAGCACCTAGCCCTAATCTCTTTAACTTTTTTTTGAAAATCTAACTTTTTAAACTTTTTTACTTTTTAAACCTTTTTTTAAAAATTTCTATAAAGATACCTGGTGAGTGGGAGACTCAAGTGGCAGGGAAAAGCATGAGTGTATGCAGTTGACAGATGTTTTGTATATAAATAATAGCAACTGGCTAATGTTTAGCAAGTTATTATTAGTGCATTTATTTCAATAATTGGCTAATTTTTAAAGTTTTTCCAGTATTGTTTAAACGATGGGTTATAAATGATAAGTTGATAACTGGGTATATCTAATTAAAACAATAGGTTGTGTACACTCATGCAAATAACACTAAGTGCGTAAATAATTACTGTAAAAATGTGCTTTAGTAAATAAATGAATTTATCTTTTTTTCAGATTAAAATTTAATGCAACAATAAAACAAAATGTCTATTTATATAATATTTATTAAATTGATCAGGGATCCCACAATAACATGCCCAATTACTTAATTTGTTATACGACACATGATAATACAATAAAAACTTGTTTTATTGTTTTGAAACAAGTGGAGCTCTCTGCTGGTTTGAAATTGGCTGTTATGACATTGACATGTCCATGCTGAGGAATCGCAGCTCAATTTGCCACAAAATCTGCAGGATCAGTTTGTCTGGAAATTGGTAAACGATCCAGTTGCATCAGCCAAGAACAACAGAACTGTGAAAATTGCACAAATATAAATTCTAAAAAAACATTAGAACAACTTCTAAATCTTTTAAATAATGTGCCGATCAAAGCGAAGGTGTAACATCCCCCCAGAAACAAGAGGGGCATTTGTCATTCGTGATTTTCTGTAGGGGAAGGCATTGGGTTGTTCCAGAAAAGATCCATACTCCCCCCACAGAGGAAATTTCTGCCATCCGGAGGAGGAGGGGAGAAAAAATTGTTTCTGATAATAATAAATGTATTAGGACATCCGAAGGGGGTAGGGGTTTAACTTCACATTTCCTCCGTGGGGGGTGGTATGTATGTTTCTGGAATGAAGTGGTGGGGCATTTGATTCCACTTATAATGAGGATGGGGATTTGACTAAAAAACTTTTAGTTTGCCTAACATGAAAGACTATGATAGATTGACTTGCTACCCGCTGACACAGGAACCAGAGGCTTTAAGCCTTTAACATGTCAGTCGACAGTACTGAACTATAAGTAAACTATAAGTAAACTATAGTTCAATGGTCAAAAGCACATTGTACTCTCTGGGTTGGACCACAACGGACTGGGAAAGTTGAAGAATTTTAACCTTCAAATTAAATTTACAATGGGGCATTTGACCACCACTTAGTTGTGGAATGTATTTGAACTTCGTATTTTGACTTGGGGTGGGGGATTTGATCATTGCAAAATCCACAAAGTCAAATGCCCGGGATGTTACAGCTTCGATTTGATCGGTGCATAATATTTTGACACTTTAACAAAAATTCATTGACAATGTGATGACATTGTCAATGAATTTTTGTTAAAGTGGCGCAAATTCCTTCCAAAATTTAGACGCCATTTTAGCGAACTCCAGAGTTGACATTTACTCAATAGTCGCTTCAACGGTCAATATCACCGGGATCATTCCAGCAAATTTAAAGCTTATACTTTTGTCTTGACGACTACCAAAAATGAAGAAAATTGAACCCTGGGAATTCTAGATATTTGTAAACATATTTAGACTTGAGTCAACCTACACCTCGCGTGGACTTGACTATTAACTTCAAACAGTCAAAATAACATTAAAAATAACGTTCACCTCAGAGATTTTTGCAGATATCACCAGATCTTTAGCAGTAGTACTACCACACTTGAAATTTTGCAAGAAAAGTTTAATATTTTTTCTCGACTTATTTTCTGTCGAATGCAAATTTTTCTGTCCAGATCAGTATTCCACTATCTATGTCCGAGGGGCATTTCACTCCAAAAAAGCGTACGGGATTTTCGGATTTTTAATAATCCGCGGATTTTTTAGCCTAATAGGTCCAGGATATGATTATTCCTTGACCGACCTATTATCCACAATTCCCGCCAAAACTCTCACGACTAAGTGCAATTCCCGCCTAAACTTTTACGACTGAGTCAGTACAGGACTGAGTCCGTGTACCGTCGCTTGCAGGATGAACGGTCGTTCATAAAAAAAATATTGCCTATTCGCGTGAGAATCTTCGATGTTTGCCAAGAGCACTTGACAGGTTTTGATCTGATTTTAATCTGTTGAAGAACCAGATCCAAGCTTTGAAACCACCAAATGATCATAAATGATCATCAAAAACATTGAACTTTCTCGGTAAAAACATTGAACTTTGTTATGAGAATAGACAATACTTTAATGCGACCGTTCATCCTTAGTGCATTCAGGAAATGAGTCCGCCTTTTACAAATTGCAGCCCGCGATTTGTAAAACACGGACTCAGTCCGCGTTTTACAAATCTTAGTTCGCGATTTGTAAA